GGGCGTTCCTGAGCAGGCACAGGCAGCCCCATGAGGGCTGTGAGTGGCTGCAGCTCAGGGCACCGGCCATGGGGCGGGCGAGGGGCTGCTTTTCCCGCACTCAGCACCAGCTTGTAACCTGCCCTCACTGCCAGCCTGGGCCCCGTTCCAGCTCTGGGCTCGCCCGTCAGGGGGAGCCCACCGGGCTTCCTGTGAGTCCTACTACCCCTGGTTTGTGTCATGTTTGACAGGTACCAAGGACAGATCAATATTCATTTTCTAAATTTTTTAAGGGCCCTGTGGGTCGGATAGAATGGCCTCGTGGGCCGGATCTGGCCCACAGGCTGTATTTTGCCCACCCCTGAAGTAAAGGTGGCACCAACGCATATCTGTGCCTTGTTCAGGGATGATCTAGGAGTAGCTATGCCTCTCTATACTACGAGTATTTCCCATGCTTCTTGGCTTTCTCAGTTGCTGCATGGGGTAGGGAAGGAATTTTTTCCCCTCCTATTGCTACTTTTATCAGGTGTTTTAGGTTTTTTGGTGGTGGTGGTGGTGGTTGTTTTTTCCTGCTTTCCTCAGACATATTGGGTGTTGGCTAAAACAAAGGTTGGGGATTTTGACAGGGGCGTGTCAATGTTCCTGCTGGGCCTAAAACTTAGAGGTTCCTGGCTAGAGAGTCTTGTTGAGGGTTTTTGCTTTCCTGTGTAGTGATCAGTGTGGTCTTCTTTCTTGGATCTTTTGAATGTATTTTAACAATCCTTGCAGCAGCAAAACACTGGCCACTGTCATCCCCCTGCTTTATCTGTGGCATGTGACGATGTTATTCCTTGTGGCTGTGTGATTTACGAAAAAGTTAGACAAGGATTTGTACTGCATGGTTTGGATAGGGCTGATCCTGCCTCAGGCAGGGGTTTGGACTGAATAATCTTCAGCACTTTCCAACCCCACTTTCCTGTGATTCTAATGTGTTCTCCGTGAAGGTTGGCTGATAAAAATCAAGAATCATTTTACAGGATGGACTATTAGCCAGACATCAGCAGGTCACTAATTTTGGTTGCACTACTTGACTGCTTACCCGATAGCAGATATCTGGAACTTGGTCAGACAAACCTTTCCAGCAATGGAATTATTTATAACCTTTTTATTTCCTTCATTTTGCAATTTAAAGGTAAGTTTGGGATGTATGGAATGGAGTAACATTCATCTGCCTTCCAAAACAAACATAAAAATCTTCTGATTTGGATTAGATGATGTTTAAATGACTGAGGTTGTTGTAGCATGGTCAGGGATCAGGAGCCCAATGAGATTTTTCCATTTTTTAATGGCAGGGCTGTCTGACTTCTAAGCTCCCAGAGACCACACCACCACAGCAAATGGGCTGCACCAGGCATGCTGCATGAATGTCCCTCTATACCCCCACTGCACCATGTGCCTGCATTGGGCACCCACTCACCACTCCACTGGGCGCCATCCCCCCCATGCAGGCTCAATCCCCCACTCTGGGTATAGCCTCCTGCTGTGGTACTGCCTCTTCCCCTTCATCAGGGGCAAGAAGCAGCAGCATAGTGATGGTGGGGAGCAGTAGTGGAATGGGAGCCTGGGAACCACAGATTGAGGGCTGCCAATTGGACAGGTCTTTGTTAATGGTATGGCCTTTACCTAAATGATTTAAAACAAAATTGGTGCAATAAAGCTTAGACAAATGTAGGGGAAAGCTAAGTGAGACTGCAGTGCTGTAGTTAGACAAGCACAACAAGTTTATATGTTTAATTCTCTCTAAAATATAGATACAAAATACAAATTTCCAAGGGCTACAATATTTATGTTAATGTTGTTTTGGGGACTTAGGACAAAAATCTGGGATCTTCCTGTTCCTTTTTTTGCTTTTCTCTACCCACCAGTGTCAATAAAGATCCTAGTATACAGTTTAACTACTAACAAAAGAAAACATGCAATGCTCTCCAGAGCCAGTTGAGACTCTTCATGTTTCACCCATAAATGGTCACTTGAGAGTATATGGGATAGCGTTTATATTTTAAACATAGCACCTGTCTCAGAGGTGATGAACTAAAGTTTCCCCCTTGTTACTAGTGTTTAAATACAATGGTAGTATGTACCATGCACCATAGAAAAATCTGGTAGGCACATAGATAGGCCTACAGTGCTGAGCAAAACTTTGGCATTTGCCCCCTGCAGTGTCCCATAGGAGTTGGGTGACTCTTGGACATAGATTCATAGATGTTAGGGTTGGAAGGGACCTCAATAGATCATCAGGTCTGACCCCCTGCATAGGCAGGGAAGAGTGCTGGGTCTAAATGACCCCAGCTGGGTCTAAATGACCCCAGCTAGATGCCTGTCTAACCTCCTCTTGAAGACCCCCAGGGTAGGGGAGAGCACCACCTCCCTTGGGAGCCCATTCCAGACCCTGGCCACTCTAACTGTGAGGAAGTTCTTCCTAATGTCTAGTCTAAATCTGCTCTCTGCTAGCTTATGGCCATTATTTCTTGTAACCCCTAGGGGCTCCTTGGTGAGTAGAGCGTCACCAATTCCCTTCTGTGCCCCCATGATGAACTTATAGGCAGCCTCAAGTTCGCCTTTCAACCTTCCTTTGCGGAAGCTGAAGAGGTCCAGGTGCCCCAGTCTCTCCTCATAGGGCTTGGCCTGCAAGCCCTTAACCATACGAGTGGCCCTTCTCTGGACCCTCTCCAGGTTATCCACATCCCTCTTGAAGTGTTGCGCCCAAAACTGCACGCAGTATTCCAACTGCAGTCTGACCAGCGCCCGATAGAGGGGAAGTATCACCTCCTTGGTTCTGTTCGTCATGCATCTGCTGATGCACGATAAAGTGCCATCAGCTTTTCTGATGGCTTTGTCACACTGCCGACTCATGTTCATCTTGGAGTCCACTAGGACTCCAAGATCTCTTTCCGCTTCCGTGCCACCAAGCAGGTCATTCCCTAGGCAGGTCATTCCCTAGGCAGTAGGTGTGCTGGATGTTTTTCCTCCCGTCTGCTTGAAGTTGTTCCCTGCCCTCCGGTGTGTCCACTTCTCCCCACAGTTTTGTGTCATCCGCAAACTTGGACAGAGTACACTTCACTCCCTCGTCCAAGTCGCTGATGAAGACATTGAAGAGTACCGGTCCAAGGACCGAGCCCTGCGGGACCCCACTGCCCACACCCTTCCAGGTCAATACCGACCCATGCACTACGACTCTCTGGGTACGACCCTCTAGCCAATTTGCCGCCCACCGGACTGTGTAGTCATCCAAGTCACAGCCTCTTAACTTGTTCACCAGTATGGGGTGGGATACCGTATCGAAGGCCTTCCTGAAGTCTAATTAAATGACGTCAACCCCTACTCCTGCATCCAGGTGTTTTGTAACCTGGTCATAAAAAGAGACTAGATTAGTCAGGCATGATCTACCTGCTACGAACCCGTGCTGGTTTCCCCTCAGCATAATTTTTCCTGCCGGACTCTTGCAAATGTGAGCCTTGATAATTTTTTCAAAGACTTTGCCAAGGATGGAGGTGAGACTGACTGGCCTATAGTTGCCTGGGTCCTCCTTCCTCCCCTTCTTGAAAATGGGGACCACATTGGCCCTTTTCCAGTCCTCCGGGACCTGGCCCGTGCGCCTTGAGAGTTCAAATATTCCCGCCAGTGTCTGTGCAATGACGTCAGTCAGTGCCTTCAGTACATACTTGCTGCCTTCTTGTATTTCAGAGAATAATATGAAATATCATTTTCAAGTGTGAAATACAAAATGCTGGGAATACCCTAACTTTCAATTTCAGGTTCAGCTATGTGCATCTGGAATCTCAAATGGTTGTACTCAGAGAAGTAAATTGACTTGGATGTTTTGGCTAAAACGTTTTGTAATTCTAAAGTTTATACCTTTCCTGGGTAATGTTGAAAAGTTCAATATTGAAAGCCATATTTGCTATATGTTTTCCTCCATAGGCTGGCACTGTTGAAGAAGAGCGGAGAAGAAGATTGGAAAAGCAGACTTAACAAAAAGCAGGAGTATGCAAAAGTGTCTGTCACTGAGCGTAGCGTGCAGCTGCAAGAAGTTGAACAGTTGTTAAAGAACAAGGTAAAGCTGCCTAAACTAGGCAAAAATGTTCTACTTGCAGCGCACCTGCCTTGAAAGTGCATCAGACCAGACAAGCATGCTTCACTCAGCTAATGGCCATTGCATGTAGTGTTACAGCCCTCTAACTCATCATTTGGGTTTGGTTTAAATGAGGTCCCTCTTACCATGAGAGCTGTTAAATGAGAACATCTTTGCTGCCTGAGTATATTCTTGCTAAATAGGAATCTACTTTTTAAGATTAAGGACATTATAAAAGTTAAAATACTTGGATTGTGCATGTTCACAAAAATAAAAACAGGTTTTAAGGTATTTGTTAAATGAATTGCTTGCTCGTTAGTGAGGAAGAACTTTCACAATTTTAAAGTTGCAAAAGGACTTCTGAACCTTTCAATCATTCTGTACAACACAGAATTTATAGCACTTACCAGGGTTAGTTGTTAACATGTAAATGCTAAAATATCCATGAGCAGACAAGGTTCCTTGGGTGAATTTGATATCTTTTATTAGACCAACCCAAATAGCTGGAGAATAGTTATTAAGCAAGCTTTCGGGTTCAAAAACCCTTCGTCAGGCTAAGGAAGTTTCAGCAGTTGGTGAAAGGGTGGAAGAGCACACACCAACTGCTGAAACTTCCTTAACCTGACGAAGGGTTTTTGAACCTGAAAACTTGCTTAATAACTATTCTCCAGCTATTTGGGTTGGTCTAATAAAAGATATCAAATTCACCCAAGGAACCTTGTCTACCAATGTCCTTAGACCAACACAGCTACAACCTTACAACCTACACCCCTGCAAAATATCCATGAATCACTTGTATTTTTGAGTAGGTTTGTGGATAGCTGGAGCCATCTGTGACTTCTAGGTTGGCTTTCTGTTTCGTTTATCTGAGGTGGTAGGTAAATGGAGAGAGACAGCTGTCAAAGACCTGGAAGTTCATGTTCCTAACCACTGCGCTGTAAACTAACCAGCTGTAACTTGATCATTCAGTGAAACTACCCTTATGGAGTTTAATACGTTTCAAGAATTTTTGTTGAAATCCAGACCGAGGTAATATAACAGTGGGCACATGCATCATGTTCATTAACGTGCTTTTGCTACTGTTCATTAATTTGTATTTACTTAATATGAGGTACTACATAAAGGTGCATTAGGATGCTTTAATGCACAGTAGCAAAAGTGAATGCCTTTTAGTGATGCTTATCATGCAGTAGACTAATTCTTCTGTGCACTAGCATATTAGCACTGTTTTTACGTGACTTTTTAATGCACAGTAGAATAGGCTACTATTCTAGTTCCACCCACAGTGAATCAAAGATCAGTTTTAGATCAGGAAAACTTTTCTTCCTGTACCATCTGTTTCTTGTACATGGCACTGCAGGAAACTTTGTTCAGGGTTGGGAATGACTTCTGAGCTACAACTAAAAAAAGGTGGTATTGCCACAAAGGACGTGAAAAAGGTGAAGCTTGCAATATATTCTTTTCCAGGTTGGACAATCTCTTAATCTGATTATTAAATTAATTTACTTTTATTGAATAGTTACTGCCAGGAACCATCAATAATAGGATTTGGCTATGTGTCTAGTGTAAGTTTACCACAGCCAGTAACAGTGACCTCCAGTATATGCTGCATGTGTGCCAGGCAGGCTATCACCTAAGCCAGTAGCTGCCTGTACCTGGTCCAGATTGTCACTGGTGAGTGATATGTGCAGCCCTAACCATGGACTAATTAGCTAATCTACATGAAAAGGGCTTCCCTGCTTCCAGTCTAGGAGGCAGCCTCCCCAGAGCAGTGCAGTATGTTTGAATGTGCCAACTATGATAAATTTGCTGTATAGAAGTAGACTCTGCATATCCTGTTTCCATTACCCTACAATGAGCAATCTGTCTTTACTGACACTGCTGACTGATGTTCAGTTAAAGGTGTGATGGGATCTGATCTGTGATCGCAACAATCAATCCTCCCCTCCTGCTATGCCGTTTGTGATTGGGGATCAGATCGCAATCAAGCTATTTTGCTGTTGCAGAGGGAGCCTGGGATTGTGATCCTGGGCTCCCCTTACACCAGCTAGTGGTGGTCTCACAGCTTGGAGTGCCCATCAGCTGACGGGTTCTCCCAGCTGTGGAAGTGCTCAGGAGACAAGGGCTCCAAGTGCTCCCTCACCTTCAAGGCTCTGGTGCTGGCCACACTTTCAATTTATGGCACCTAGGAACCAGTTATCATATTGTTTCCTTTTTATGGCACCATTAATTGAATGAACATGTGTGATATTGGTATCTCGGGTTACTAGTCCAAGTTACTACTTAAGACGTGATTGACTGGTTAATTCCATCATAAGTGTAATGTCTGCCAGAGGCTACAGAGTAATTTTATACTTGAATGAAGAAACATATGGTTTAAAAGCAAATGTGTTTTTGAAAAGTCTCTTAATAGGAAAGGTAGATTAAGATGAGTCCTTGTGTGGTGGTTGTCCTGTGGATTGTTTCTAATCATAATTAATACCCTGGGGTGGTTATAATAATTTAAGTCGGGTAAGCAAAGCTGTAGGACCACAGTCAAATGGATTAGTTTCTAAAACAACCTGCTTTTAAGATACAATTAACTAACATTCCTCAAATAGAACACAGCTTTAAAAAATGGCTTGTAAACTTTTTGAATGTTAACTTCTGCCTATTTTGAGCCTAGAGCCTAAATCGAAAAGTTAGCACTTAAGCTACAAGGTAGCTGAGTATCATATCACAACTGGAAAAATCTGACTTTGGGAATAGTTTTCCATGTTTTGTGGCATGTGATAATACCCAGAACTATGATGACATCAGTGATGCCGTTTCAAAAAACAATTAGGTTCCAGTGAAGCTTTATATTTAGTTTCTAATGCTATCTGGTATTCTAAACTCTGCTGGTACTATAGTTTAAGATTATCTTCCATATATTCTTGGTGGGCCTTAAGAATGATAATTGTCAATGAAACATGTTGATGGAGTGAGTTATTGCTGTGTTTCAGGAAGACTGTGCAACAGCATTCAGCTCCACAAAGTATCTGTGAATTGGGTAATACTTGGAGATTACATACGTTTAGAAAATGCTTGGTGCTGCTTGTTGTTGCAAAAGAGCACAGGAGCTGTTTTGAATATTGAACGTTTTGGGAGCTTTTTTAGAAAAAATATACAAAACAAAAAAAAAGTTCACTTACTGGAATTGTCCTAACCACAGGCAATTGGTAATGTACTTCTGTTCAAAATGTAAAACATGCATGTTCAAAATTAAAACATGCAGTTTACAAATGCCACTTGTTTCTCCAGCTGTAGTACATCACTTTTCAGATTTGATATGGTTAGGCATGGTTTTAAAAAGCCCGTAGCAAAGCCTAACTTAGGTTGATTGAAGCAAGGGTGTGTAAAATGTAAACTGAAATTATCAAATGTGTTTAAAAAAAAAAATAATCCAAGTTCATTGAGGGTTGAAAGACTGAGTTTCTTCATATTTGTGCTTTAGTTAACATACCTGTTCAGTCTTGGTCAAAATGCTTAAAACACTGTAAGCAGTTGTCTACAAACAAGATCTTTCCAGCAGTATGGAAATTAAGAGTTTCCCTATAAGTGTTAAATTCACGTATATGTAGTCTAACACATTTTGAGTAACATACAGTTCAAGGAAAACTTACGTTGGTGTCTCCAGATGGAACAGACAAAGGAGGGATAAAATAGAGGAGACTATCAAGATTTGTTAGGAAAAAATTTTTTTTTAAATGTTTGTTTATCTTATGTTGGAGGCTGTTGTGAGGAGTTTTAGGTTTTTGGAGGTATGGCACAGCATGTGCATGCAGGTTATAGAATAGCCAATACATTAGTGAAAATGTTGCCCAGCTCCTAGCCCAATAACTAGATGAAATCTCAAATGTACCAAATCCTACTTCTGTGGGGAGGTCACATATTGGATTTAGTATGTTGTTTTTATTTCTCAAGCTTGGCAGTAGCTTACCTGTTTCCAGTTTTGTTTCCCAGAAATTCAGTCCTTCATAGCATCAAAAGAATAGCATTCTACTGAAATGAATTCCTATTTTATAGTCTTTTTATGTCTAAATCTATTTAGATTTCTGCAGTAGTGTGATTTTCAGCTATGCTCTAGTAGCAGTCAGTCAAGTTCAGAATACATTTAATTCCTATGGCAAGATCCTGCAAACTCCTGATGTAAATCAGTAACACACATGCTTTTAGCAAATATCAGGATTGTGAATTGTTGTCATTCAGAATTACCATGAAGATGATGCACACAACCCTGAAGGGGTAAGCCCTTTAGAAACAAAGAAAAAAAAGTGCGACCTCGAGACAAGATTAGTCTGGGTTACTGTAATAGCTTTATCTCTTTCATACGTGGCATCCACAGTGCGTGCATGTGCGTAGTTTTAATCAGACCTGGAGCATGAATGGGATGGAATGGATTGCAAGTTGAGCTATTCTCTAACAAACTGCACCTTTCTAGCATTCCATGCAATGTTTCCTATTTGTTTTAACCTGTAGGAAGAAGGAAGAATTACAGACGATAATGCCATGTCTAATCAGCTTTGGGTAAGCCTAACTGATGAAGGGGTTATTCTAGGCTTTGGCTAGAGTAGTAAATTCACTTTTGCTGAGTGCTGTGTGTTAGCATTTCCCTCCAGACATCTTTCCAGTTAATATTCAAGTTTTAGAAAACATCGTTTCATTTTATCCAGAAGATGGATGGCTCTTATTCCAGTGAAGGGCTGATTACCCTTGCAGTGGAAACATTCATGTTGTGGTTGATATGCTTCAGTAATTTAATGGATCATGAAAGCAGAGATTAAAAACATCTGAGTATGAAGAGTGTTTCTCCTGTGTGTGCTGCTTAGTTTTGCATTAAATTGCTGTGATATTGTCTTTAACTCCATTTAATTAGTGTATGAAGTAGCTTTGATTTAAACCATGCTGTGTTGTGTGTGAACGTTTTCCAGTACTGGCTTTTCAATAGGGAGAACATTTCTAAAAGGTTAGGCTTGAAGCTGCAATATGAAATGGTTTCTTAAATACATGTTGTATTTTTTTTTTCTCCTCCATCTTTTGACCAATCATTCCCTCCCTCTAATTCTTGTGGTTTGCTTCTACCCCTGCTTTAGGAACCCGTCTATGCTTCTACTTATTCTCCTGCTACACCTGCTGCCCATAAATTTCATCCTTTTGTACCTATTAACCAGGTGAGCAAAAGTCTGCACACTTGAAATGTGCATCTTAGATTCCTGATTACTTTGATAGGGAATCAGTTATTCTCCTGACTGACTATTCTCCCTAGTAAGTACTTGTCCAAAAAAATGAAGCATCATAGCTCTGTTGTGTATATTCCTCTCTCACTTTACAAAAATTGAATAGACTTCCATTACAGGTGGTTGTGATTTAAACACATTCAAGTGCACTGGGATGTACATTGTGTTCTCTACTGCGCTGTAAACTATTAGAAACTTGCTGTGAGAGGGTTGTTAAAGGAGGATGTCCAACTGCTTCATATTTGGAAATATCCTGCCCTCTCTGCATTAAGTTTCTGCCAAAAATATATATGAATTTAAGTTCAATTTGTGTAATAAATTGAACAGTCTGCTCTGGTACCTCCAGAGTACTTTTTTCTAGTTCTTATACTAAAATATTTTTTTAAAGATTGGCACATCCTGCTTCTGTTCTATTCTTTGCATCTCCTGTCTTCCTGACTTTTGTTTCTCTTCCTTTAAGGTCAGTAGTACTAGTTTGACAGAATCAAGCCCCTTGATCTTTGAGCGTCATCCTTGGAGATGGAAGGTGAAATACCATATAAACATCCTGTTTGTTTAATTTGAGAGGCATATGACAGAAGTAATTTGATCTTTTGCTTGGGAACAAAATTAAGTACCTAGAAATTTTAGGAGAGCTTCATATGAAGCTTCAGTAGAAGTCTATATGTTATAGCTCTGGTGTTCCTGTTTAAATAAGTTTTGAAGAACTGATTTATAAGCAACTAATAGATAATAAGGTCTCATAAAGTAATTTGCTTCCTTCAGTTTACCAGCTCAGATTAGTACAGTGAGCAAAAGCAAAATTCCAGCCTTCCTCCAGAGCAAATGATATCTACAGTTTTACATGATCAGATTGTGGGGATACAAAGACTGAAGAAATGAAAGGAGGCTAAAAGAAATTTGAAAGTGAGCGAGTAAGGAAGAACATTTCATTTAAAAGTTTGAATGAAACTGATATGTGCAACTCTGATCTTGCTTGATACTATCTCCCCATCTTCTCCCTCTCAACTAAAATCTATGGTTGTAGTGTTACAGGAAAATATCAGCAAGTAAATCTCTCAGCATCTTAGGGCATTTTTACATGTGCTCTGGGACATGGTGCCAGGTACTTTAATAAGCAAGCCACACTAATTAAAAGAGCCCACGCATCAAATGTATCAGTGTCCCCACACTGAAAAAATGGCAGCGGGGCACTTTGAACTAAAGCTCATCAAACGTGTTTTATTTCAAGGAGCCCCGCTGCCATTTTTTCAGCGTGGGGATGCTGATCCATGTGACACAGAAGGCTACCCAAGCATGGCAGTTTCCATGCTCCAGCAGGCTTGATTAATCGAGTCTTCTCCGACGCACTGGATTTCCAGCGCATTGGAGCAGGCTCCCTGCAATTCTGCCCATAGAGACTAAATGCATATGTTGTTATTGATAACAATAATATAACTCGCTTGAAGGCATGAAGCTTTCTACCAACAGATATGCTAACTCAAGTAATCAAAGCGCATGTATTTAACAAAGAGGAAAACCCCAAAATTGTCCTAAAATGCTGTAACCATAGATTTCAACTGGGAGTATGGGGAATTGTGAATTTGGAGACAACTTTGAATTTCAGATGATCCATCCCCCCCCCCAATAATTAGATTCTGTACATGGAAACTTGTAAATTTGTTGTTGTTTTCAGTGTATTTAATCTAATTCCTGGAAGGTTGTCTTTAAATTCACCCCCTTCCCCTTCTCCCCCTACTGCCGCAATGGGGAAAGCCATAGCAGGGGCAGGTTGCTTGGCCTCCTTGTCCTCCCACCTGGTCCTTCTGTACTTCCTGGTACCTACCCTGTGCTATCCCATCTCTCCCTGGCCCAGCCTCTTGCGCTATGCAGCAAGTTCAATTCTGGTTCTGGCTCCAGCCTGGGATACAGAGCACATATGGCTCCAGCCCAGTCAGGCAGTTGCAGCAGTGGCAACTCCAGCCCAGGCTTGGGGCCAGAGTTGGAGCTATAGCAGCCTCCATGCCACTGTGCAGTCTCCCCTGTGCTTTCCCCCAGGGCCATGCATTATGTGGTCTTCCCCACACTCCCTCCTGCGCCTACCCTGGTGGCACCACACAATCTCCGCTGTGCTTTTCTCCCTGCACCAAGTGGTTTTCTCCAGGTGTTTGGGGCCAGAGCTAGAGCAGCTCCCTGCCCCAGACCATACTGAAATCCAAAATGAGGTTGCTTTTTCCCCATGTTGAATTGGAGAGGAGGGGACTTTGCCTGGGATTTGAGTAAACACAGTAGTATAAAGCAGGATCAGAGTTGCACAGATCAGCACAAACTTTTGAATGCAGTGTTCTTTCTTTCTTTCAAATTCTCTTTAACCTTCTTTCAGTGCTCTCAGCATCTGATGAGTGGCCTGGTGCTTACGAGAGCTTATGCTGTTCTGAATGAGTTACTCCAAGGTCTCACCCTGCCCTGCCTTCTGCCTGCATTCAGACTAATGCAGATGCTTACTTCTGTCAGCAAATGAGAAACTATTTTACATTTCTAGAGCTTGGAAATACATTTTTCTTTGACCAGGTTAATCTGTTTATAGCAATTGGTGTGAAGTTTTCCTTTTATGAATGTTACTCTTGACTTCTAATTTGGGGCCTGGTAGCTTTTGGACTATGCTTTCAGACTAAATTCAGAGTTTATGAAGCAGAGGCAACGGATATGTTACCAAGTTACCATGTAACTTTAGCTAACCTGTCCTTGTTCCAACACTGAACTGCTAATATCAGATTTTCAAGTCACAGACAGACTTTTTGTGACAAGACTATTCCCCATGCTGTTTGCACAAAACACTACCTGAATAACTTAAGAAAGCAAACATTGTAGCTTGTATTAGCTTCTAGTCAACAGGAAAAAGGAATGTGTTTGGGAATTTTCTGTTCTGCTCCATTTATTATAAAAATCTGCAGGAGAAACTCGAATTCATAAGTTACATCTATTAAAATTCTCTGGTGCAGTGTGTTTGGAAACTGTGACCCTGCTAGTTTCTGTATTACAAGCTACACAACTCCTTCTTCACTTCTTTGCAAGCTTTATAGTATAGTTGTAAAGGAAGTTGGCTTCCTTTTATGTTCTGCTTCATTTTTCTCTCTCCTTTCAGCTAGGGACAGCCTTAAGCATCACTGCATATATTTATCTACTGAATCTTTCATCTCTTGCATGGTGACGCATCATCTTGGGCTGTGATTTTTTTGTAAGCTGAAGAGGCATTTCTTGGAATGGAAACCTACAAGGAACACTTGATATTGTTCAGAGTGGTATATTTACTTGGTTGTAGGCCATTCTTCCCTGTCAATTCATAAAGTATAGTAACACAAAGCCCAAAGAAAAAATGTGTAAAAGGAGACTATCATCTGATCTGATCACTTGTATAATGCAAGCCAGCCACTCTCTAATAATTCTTGGATCAAACCTATAATGTCTCTTGTGAGTTGCAGCATATTGTTTAGAGAGAGATCCAGCTTAATTCACGCCCTTTGAGTGAAGGAGTGCGCACTGCAATTCTAAGTATGCTGTTCCAATGTTTAATTACCCTCACTATTAAAATTGATCCCTAACTTGTCCACCTTCAGCTTACAGCCTTTGGATCTCTTTGCATCTTTCTCTGCTACATTAAAGAGATGCAGGCTGTCAGACATGCCTCTCCCAGGGGTACTTGTAGACTGCAACTGGTTGCCTCATAACTCTCTTCAGTAAAGCATGGAGCTACTTCAGTTTTCCTTTCATACAAGGTTTTCCAGAATTGTAATAATTTTAATAGTTGTTTCCAGTTTGTCAACTTTCTTTTAGAAGTGTGGACACCACAACTAGACATGGTCTTGTAGTCACTATCTTGCTAATGAGACCTGTTACAGATACTTTTGTATGCAGAAGTAATAATTCTGTTTGTACATATAATAATTAGTCAGATCAAGTCTGTTACCTACAACATTGTACTGTGTTAATTGAAATCTGAATCTTTTTCAGGGCAATTCCTTCCTTCATCCTGATTTTTATAGATGTATAACCTTGTATTCAGCTCTTTTAAAGTGTATGGTCCTCAACTGGTGTTGCCCACCTTATCAAATGTTTCAGAAAGATACAAAATTATAACAAATTATACATTTTTCATCCATAGAATCTAATTATTGGGGGTTATCTTATAATCAGGGTCATCTTCAACTCAAATAAGCACAGTAATTTTTCCTGATTTACTTATTGAACACTTCCTTATGGTTCTTTTTACTTTACTGGCATAGATTTTTCTCATTGATACCTTTTCAGCTCTTCTTGTCAGCTTTCCTATCTATGACTTTCTTCCTATTTTGATGACCTTTACAATTTTTCCATCTGCATTATCTGTATTAATTGTTCTCATCTCCCCTGTTAACCAGCACATGTCTTTAACCAAAGAAGATGGAGTTTAGTCAGCATTTTTAAACACCTCCTGCTCATCATTCATATTTTTATGTCTAAATATTTTCTTCTATTCATTTTAGGAAATTGGCTTTTTTTGCAGCACAAAGTATATGCCATATTTACTTGAATAGAAGATGACCCTCAATAATTAGACTGAAATATATCTATATGGAAAATATATTATATATGGAAAATGTAGACATTTGTTATAACTTTCCAGGTATAGAATCTAATTAATGGAGGTTTGCCTTGAACTTATTCCCCTCCCACTACTACATCAGGGAAAATAAATCTGGGGGGATCAAGTAGCCTCATTCCCCTTTGCTGTCTGTCCCCTGCTGTTGCTTCCTTCTGCAGTTGTCGTCCCCCCCCCTGCCCCCTTCACTGTCAGACCTGGCTCTCGCTAAGTGCATGGAAGTGAGGGGTAAATTTGAAAGCACTGACCTTGGAAGAAACACTTTTTACCAATTAGGCAAATTACCACAGGTACCCATAGACTTAAATCATCCAGAATTGATGCATTGCACCTTTTTTTAAATTACTGCAAGTTTTAGCACAGGTATTCCATAAATTACACTTTTAACCAGCACTTTTATACCTACTTATATGTAGCACAAACTATACATATTTAGTCCAAAGGAAAAAGGCTCATCATATGATGTATACTTGGGCTGGGCCCTAGGAGAATCAACAGCCTTTTAAGCCACGGTGACCCCACAGCTCAGCACTACTTGGTGTGTACTCCATATTACATCCTGTCCCATCACCCCCCCCCCCCCCCCCCAC